CTTTGGAGGATGACGCTGCCCTGGGGGTACGAAGTCTGCGTTGAGAAGACGTTGAGGCCCTCTTGGACTTTAGCTGCGATGGCGGGATGTCTGGGGAGGCCGGTCGCTTCTTAGAGGTGACGGACTGCATCCCACGTCCCTCTTCCGATGGGGTCTCTAGCAGAACACCAGACGGGAGGGGGTCGATCGACAGCAGCTGACTGGATGGGAAATCCGATGTATCGGCCATGTCTAACCCTTGTTTGCGTGACCTATCTGCAGCACGTCTCAAGACGCAAAGATGGTATTTATTAAAAGCAGAATTAGTTAAATTAATGCAGTAACTGCAACGTGAATCAAACGCACAAGGCGTAGAACAACTAGGGCATACTACATGCGGATCAGCAGCAGAAAAACGTAATCTACAAATAGTACAGATTTTCATCAACGTAATACTAGCTGAACAATCACGAACTCACGTGAATAAACAGTAGAAATACGATTAATTATCAATACAAATTAATGAAGGATACTAGCTATACCTTTATAGTAAACTATAAGAGGTAACTAACTAAGAAAACCAAAGGATATAGTGTGTAAGGAGACACAGGCGCTCTCACATCCTGCTCACTGGGCGAAGAAGGAGAGAGTGAAGCATGAGGCCAGAGGGTGGCGACACCTGTTCCCGCGCAAGCGGCAAAGGGAGGCAACTCTTGGTGAGTACCAATTAGTGATTTTACATTGAAGGGAGCTTCAATTAAGGAGATACAAGTGTTCCACTATGTTCGCAAGAAGAAGAAGACAAGCAAAAGAGCATGAGTCAGGATAAGGAAAAATATGTCAACATGCCTTGGTCCTGTTTCTCTTCAGTTTTGTAATTAAAGTGTTCATAGCGTCACATGCAACATTACTATATTTTAGTGATTTAAAAAGTTTACAAAAACTTTGTTCATTTTCTGTGAATTGCATATATAAGTGATCATTTTTAAAGTGTACGAGAGCAAACTCAATCCACTGATTAGGGCAGGGATTTTCTGTTTCAAGTACACAGGAGGCGACTTCTTGAGACTTACAATAACAAAGACGGACGCATGTTTTTTTCGGAAGGTTCGGTATCACAGAGATATCTGAAAGATTATATTCACTAAATGACTTCATAAAAGTAAGATGAAACTAGAAGATCTTCGTCTGAGAACATGACCGTACGTGCAGTGTGAAGCGGTGGCATACAAACATACAAACTAGGAAGAATATGCCAGATGACGAGAGGACTGACACGTCTCTCTCAGGAATCTGTGAATACAAGTTTGAGAAATTAAAAAAAGGCAGTTTGGGAAGTTAAAGTAGAAATGATCACTTAGATATGCAATTCACGGAAAATGAACAAAGTTTTTGTAAACTTTTTAAATCACTAAAATATAGTAATAATGAAAGTAATGCCATGAATACTTTATTTACAAAACTGAAGAGAAACTGTAGCACGGCATGTTGACAAGAAATCCTATTCGGTCGAAGGAGGGACCACATTGTGCAGAATTGCAAGCCTGACACTGAGAAGTATGGACATAGGTTCGAAGCTTACTACAATAGGGGGTTTATGCACTACATCCCGATATCAAATTTTCAAGATTAGACTCACAGTGACGAAAAACTATTATGTACCAAAGCCTATTCTTCTCCACTCGCCGCCATCTTTGACGATTTGTATGCCGTTTCAGGATGCTATCATTGCCGTGTTGGGATGCTATGAATGCTATTTTGTACGCTCGGCAACCGTTCTCGCGTGCTCTTGTAGCTGATACGCGAGTTTTGTTTCCATTTCAAACGATTAGTCTTCCATTACAGATGTATTGTTTCGGTTTTAGAGGATATTGTTGCAGTTTTGGTGATTTTGGTTCTGTTTTGGTGTATATGAGTTCAGTTTTGATGATTTGTTCACCGTTTGTATGGTAGGCCTGTCTTTTATTAGTTCATGTGTTTAATCAAGACATGTTATTTGACAACCAATAATACGCAAATTTGTTGATATGCTATTTCTGATGATGTGAAGAATTCAAGATGTGTGAACAGCTCGCCCGAACACATGCCTGTTACCCCCATCAGGTGTGGACAGCTTGGGTAGCTCCTGGGAGGCATGCAGCTTGTCCCCTAGTCATGTCACCCTCCTTTGTAGTCATTGTCGTCTAGGAGCAGATAGTATTAATCTGTGTAGTGGTGTTGGTCCGGTAACCAGGTTGTGCCTGGTAACCAGGAGAGGAATGCATCGAATCCATTGGAATTCGGTATACATACTCCATTGACATCATTGCTCATGAGTGTAGAGGTCAATGAGTATGAGTGTTGATCGCCTCTGCATCGTAGCACAAGACTGGTCTCTCAGTCTATGATGTAGCCGCTCAGCAGTGACTGCGCTGTAATGCCCAAGTGTGGTTCATGGTGAGGTAGATCTATGCCTGAGGAAGTAGAATCAGATGAAGACGTCTTATATTTGTTTGTATAATGTGACATCAATTCCGTAGTCAGAGGACAATACTATCTGTGTTGTCGAGCTAAAGACAGCTGCTGTGCCAGTACCAAGGGGCTGAACTGATGGAGTCCTTCTACATCAGTTCCTGATAGATCGCGTAGGTAGTTGGGAGCAAAGACCATCTCTAATCTCCAGAACATCCCTCCATTATTGATGTCAGCAAGCAGTTATTGTAAAGAGCCATCGTTGACGCTAGGGCCAGAGTCTCATGTTTGATGCAACTCAAGAGGGTCAAGACAATTTGAGGGGAGGCCCGGCAAAGGTGTAGGCTTGCAGGATGGTAGATCGCATCCAGAGGCCAATGTAGTAAGGGAGACTTTCGCTGAAGACGCTTGTAGAAGCATGATGAACAGTCGTTTACGTAACCTGTGACAGTCTTGCAAGGCAGTAGTGTACATCTTCAACGCTCTTACTGGACAGAGCGGCAGATCTTCTGTGTCATCAGGCTCGAGTAAGTGGAAAACGGTGGTATTTGTTGATTTTTTGGTATGAAGTCCAAATGCAGATAAGGGAAAAACTCTGCCATGCTTCTTCCTCTCAAACTGTATTTGGTTAACGCCAAGGCATACATGCAGCAGTAGCTAACGCTACTAGGAAGAAGTCTTGAAGGCGATGTGCTCAAAGTTGTCTCATATAGAGCTTCGTAAACATCTGAGATGAGATGTCACAGAATGATGGAGAGGTCCCAGGATGGAGCTCGGAACTTCTTAGATTGATCAGACAACTTGTAGAAGTGCAGTAGGGACTGGAGTTCAGATACAGTAGAAATCTTAATCCCTGTTGCCGTAGCTACAACAGTGTTGATATCTGCTAAATAAATAGCAATGGTAGATGCCATCCATTTCCTAGACATTCGCAGATGTTGTAGGTATTCAGCGACAATCTGGGCAGATGCTGTAGCAGGAGACAGTATGCCCATCATTCTGCAGTTGTCTTGAAATTTCTTCCACTTGTCATCATAAAGTGAATGTGTAGAAGTACGATGTGCTGAAGTAATTACTTCCGCAACTCTTCTGGAGTACCCTTTGGCGATAAAAGATTTCTGTAGATGCGCCAGACCCATAGATGTAGCATGGATCGGAGTATGGGTGGATCAATACGTCATCTCAGATGGTTAGAACCAATGGGTCTGGATCAGCGATATGTAAAAGCTCGACGAACAAAGGTCGAGCCGACCAATAAGGAGTGACCAAAGCGGCGTTAATTTCCTTTTGGAAAGTAGTTTCTGTAACACTCGTGGAAAAAGGGCTGGAGGTGGAAACACTTAAGCGTTTAGGTTCTCCCAGGAAATTGCTAAGGCGTCTTGATTTCATGCTATAGTGTCCGGGATCGGTGATACAAATCTGGGTAGCTGATTGTTGAACCTGGTCGCAAACAAATCTATCTGAGGGTTGGTGATCAGGAGACAACAGATCTGAAGATCTGTGGATGCAACTGAGATGGATAGGGAATCTATCAGTTAGAAGAAATGCATCAGCCGATCCTGCTGAACCCAGATGATTGACATACCATACCACCGTCGAGTTGTCTGATGTATGAGAAGACTGGTCAATTGCAGATCCTTCGCCATTCTCGTATGGCTAGGATAACTGCTCTGAATTCCAGTTTGTTTATATGCAGGGATTAATCGGCAAACAATCAAAGCCCTGCCACTTGACGATCGTAAAGGTGAGCTTCCCATCCTGGGAGTGATACATTGATGAATAGGTGATAAGTGGGGTTGAATGGCATCAAGCAAACTCCTCCGCAAACGTACAATTCGCCGAACCACCATAGAGGGTACTAATGGAGTGATGAAAGTAGTAGAGTCGACGCATGAGGATAGTAGTTCGACGAATGTCATAGTCGTAGGACGAATCAGGTGTTCGTCAACCAAGTCATGTGGATTCGGAGAATGTTGTATGACCACTACCCTTGATGTAGTCTCGGGATCGGTGTAAAATGCATGTAGAAAATCGGTAATTCAGTAATTCCTAATAACCTCACTTGTACACAAACATGTTATGTGTGTAATACGTCACTTCCCGAAGGCCATTAAAAGAAGTCATTGGATCAATGCTGTTGTGTCGTCTGTATGTTGGAAGTATATTACTGAATATTGACTGTAGATAACTTCTATTCCAACATAACTCAGCATGTAATACATGCTGCAACAATATTTCCAATTACAAGGTCCAATACAGCTAATGCAAGGTGAGGGAGGATCCAATGCTGAGAAGGTATGTTGCAATTAATGTCAACTTTCCTTATTCAAGAAGAAGAGTCTTCTTTTCCCATGATGTAGAAGCAAGGCAAGTATAATATCTAAGTCAATTTATTGACATTAAGTTACAGTACATAGTGTGACAAGAAATAGAATGACTACAAAGGAAGGTCACATGACTAATCAGGGGACAAGCTGCATGCCTCCCAGGAGTTACCCAAGCTGTCCAGATCTGATAGGGTAGCAGGGGTGTGTTTGGGCCAGCTGTTCAGAGAGGCCGACTACTTCATTACAGTTCCTTTCCACTCAACCGTCAAGCATAAAAGAGAGAGTACAATAGTGTGAGAAAAAAAAACACTTACCAGTGTCAGAGACTGAATGCCTTGTACCATTTTGTCCAACAGTATCAGCAGGAGCGACATCATTCTCTGTGGAATCAAAGAATGCCATCACTCAGAGTTAGCTTAACAAAAGATCTAATTGTGATATTAGTGTTTGTACTGTCTGTGTGAACACTGCATAACAAACAATTATCTAAGTCAAGTGAATAGGCATTGCAACATGAAGATGTTTTAGACAATGTCAAAGACCCATTTGAAATTCAAACTTATCTCACTGTGCCAGTGTGAAATTATTCTCTTTGTGACAACACTAACTGACATTTCTTATGCCCTTACCAATCAACTTAATCTTCCTCTTCAATGCTGTCGGTTTTGTCATCAGTGCAGGTGCAACATTGTTTGCAACTGGTTTGCATTGTACCTTCACAGAGGCCGTGCTTGTTACTGGGGCTGATACTCTAACAATATTCTTCTTCAACTGTAGAACCTTCTTCTGAGGAGACCCAGACGTACTCTCCACATCAGAATCTGAATATTGACAGTCTTTGATCAAACAAAGAACACAAAAACATTGGGTTTTCAAAACAATCATGTAATTTTTTGAGTAAAATTGATATTTTATACTTATCCTGACTCATGCTCTTTTGCTTGTCCCCTTCCTCTTGCGAACATAGTGGAACACTTGTATCTCCTTAATTGAAGCTCCCTTCAATGTAATATCACTAATTGGTACTCACCCAAGAGTTGCCTCCCCTGCCGCAAGCGCGGGAACAGGTGTCGCCACCCTCTGGCCTCATGCTTCACTCTCTCCTGATTTTGTGAGCCCAACACTTGAATTTACAGGGAAATACAAAGTGTTATGTGGGGAGGATGGGAGGGCTAACCTCATGAGTCAGGATAAGTATAAAATATCAATTTTACTCAAAAATTACATATTTTTCCTTATCCTGACTCATGCTCTTTTGCTTGTAGAATCCAATCGGAGTGGTGGTGGGCATAAACAGAATACTTTGGATTAATAATTAGTGATTTAAATAACTTATACTGTAATAACCTCATGGGAACTTCATAAAGGCATTGACTTAGGATATTTCCTTTATAATAAGCCATAGGTTATATATACCATAACTGGGGTATTACATTACTAATATACTGATATACCAAATTATAGATATAACAAGCTACTCTGATAGAGAAGCTGTACAACTGAACATAAAACTCAGTATGAGCTTAAGGTTGAATAACCTAAGCTAAATATATACATAGCCCTAGAACTCCGTGGAGTTATAAGCTAAATATATGTATAATATACATAATAATTTAGGTGAGGGGTGAATATTAACGCCACTCTGAGGGACTGTCAGCTGCTGAGCTGGAGGACCAAAGGACCGAAATGGTGAATGCCAGAGACGCCCCTCGGTGGTGATATCTCTCAGATAGTGATTAGCAAACACCATGTTAGATTTCCAGAAGCATCCTTCCATAATTGTATTCAATGAACAGTTACCGTGAAGGGCGAGGGTGGAGGCCAATGCCCTGATTTCATGTGGATTTGATGCTGTTGGAGGGTCCAGTCCTGCTGCCTTGTAGGTAGAATGACAGTTCTAATCCATATAGATATGGTGGTACGAGAGACTTCTGTCTGATTAGTAGGCTTATAACGGGATGAACAATCTTCTGAGCCGATCTTAGCCTTGTTTTGGAAATCCATCGTAAATAGATTTTGAGAGCTCGTACTGGGCATAGAGATAAGTCCAATGTATCTTGAGATCCGAGAATCGAGGATAGCGCAGGGACGTGAAATAACCTGTCTGGTTGTCCTGGTAGTTGATTTTTGGCGATGAAATCCCATCTTAATATCAGGTGCGCTGTGTTTTGATTGTCATCAAACTGTATCCTCTCATAATCTAGAGCGTGAATTTCAGATATTCTGGCTGCCGTGGCTAGCGATAACAGGAAAATTGTTTTCTGTGAGAGAAATTCAAAGGTTGTCGATTCCAATGGTTCATAATCCTCACTTGTGAGGTGTTGTAGCACTACATTCAGATCCCAAGCTGGGGCGTGGAACTTCCGCTTTTGGTCCTCCAATCGGTAAGCACGTAGTAACGCCAGTAACTCTGGTGTTTTTGTCAATTTAACACCCGTTCTCATAGAAATCACAGAACTAAGCGCGGCAAGATATGTTGACAATGTCGAGCCTTTTAAATGTTTCTTTTGCCGTAAGTAACACAAATAGTCTGCCACTTGAGGATGCGTAGCATCTCTTGCTGTAAAACCCTTGTTTGCTGCATAATTTTCGAAACTGTGCCACTTGTCGTCGTACAAGTTACGTGTAGAATATCGTAAGGCAAGCGTGACCGCTTTTGCCGCCCTGGTAGAATATCCTCTCTTGTTTAAACACATTTTAATACAGTCCATACGTGAAGTTTGAATACTTCTGGGTTTCTGTGCACCTGTTTGGTGTGTGGATGTATTAACAGCTTTGAGCGTTTGGGTAGCTCTAGTGCCGGTTGACCGATTTCTTGTATTAGAGCGGAAACCACGCTCTGGCCGCCAGTAGGGCGACCAAAATGAGTTGTAGGCTCTGTGTTTGGCTGATTTTCTGTAATACTTGAGGTATTATTGCTGGGCGGAAACGCGCACGCATTGAGGCCTTCCCATGATATGCTTAGAGCGTCCGCTGCCCATGCTTGTGGGTCTGGAACTGGTGACACGAATGTCGGTAGTTGATTGTTGAATCTTGTGGCTTAATAGATCTACTAGCGGCTCCTATTTGCTTGATTATCTGTGCAAATATCTCTGTATTGAGCATCCATTCTGTCGGCTGACGGTAGATGTGGCCGAGAGTGCGCGTCTGCTAGTATATTCCTGGCTCGGGAATGTGGCATGCTTTGACATGTAGATTTAGATCTTGGATTAATTCAACAGTTGAAAGGTTAAAGTCAAAAGGTTCGGGCGATCTCGTTGAGCCTTGCCTGTTCACATAGAACGCCACTGTCGAGTTGTCGGTATGTATCATCAGGTGCATTCTGTAGAATGTTGCTCCAATGTCTTATGGCGTTGATTACAGCTTTCATCTCTAATGAGTTTACGTGGAGCTTGCTTTCTAGCTGATTCCATAACCCTGATGCCGTCTGGTTGGTGAGATGAGCTCCCCAACCTTGGAGCGACGCGTCTACATATAGATGGGTTTTGAATTCCTGCTCTGCTAAACAGATCCCTTCGCAGACATTCGATTTCTTGGTCCACCATAGTAGATGAGGTCTGAGATGTTCCGGTAGACTGAATGGTTGTAGGTCGTCGAGATGTGTGTTGATGAAGACCTGTAAGGGACGTAACTGTAATCTGCCTATGACTGTCAAGTCTTGGGCTGATGTTAGAAGACCTAGTAAACTCTGCCATTGTCGAAGTGGTAGCGGAGAGAGTAGGGCTGGAGGAATGATCTGTTGGATCTTGAGCCAACGGTCTTCTGGTACGACTATACGGTTGAGATTGGTGATAAATCGAATGCCTAGGAATTGCAGATCTTGCGATGGTACTAGGTCCGACTTGTGTAAGTTTACTAACCATCCCAGCTGTGTTAGTAGCTTTATGATGTAGTTTAACTGTAGTTTGAGATGCTGTGGATCTTGATCTACTTGTATCCCGTCGTCGAGGAAGAACGCACTCGCGAGCCCTTGATGATGTAGATAGGTGACAATCGGTTTCGTTATCCTCGCGTGAATAACCATGGGGCTGATGTTATTCCGAATGGAAGTTCTTTCCACTGGTAATGTAACCCGTCGAGAGTAAACCGTAGGTATTTCCTGGATTCGGGATGTATAGGGATGTGCAGATAGGCATCTTGTAGATCTATACTGCCCATGTAGTCCATGGGGACTAATCATGTGCCGTAACTGAGGTAGATGTATCATGTGGAACTCTCGTGGTCTCGCGAGATAAGTCTTGTTGAAGAAGCTCATGTTGTAAATGAGTCTGTATTTCTCCTTGGAGTTTTCTTGGGTACTAGGAAAACTGGGGAGTAGAAACCTGGTTCGATGTTTCCTTGATCTATTACTTCTATGGCCTGCTTGGTTAGGAGTAATGTAACAGCCTCTCTTAACTTTAGTAGTTGCTGTGCCTGTACCTCGAACTTGTGAGGGTTGACTGTTAGTGGAGGCTTGGCCTGTAGTGGGATCTGAAATCCAGGTGCTGAAGAATGTTGGAGACATAGGTGTCTTGAAGTATTCCCCAGTTTTCCCAGTGTAGTTGGAGACGCCCACCCACTTGTGACGGTTGTACTGGAACGGCTGGGGTGGAAGACTCCAGTCGTTCGAACCTGTCTTTCAGCGCTTATAGTTGCGGGAACCTCTGGGTGTCCTGCCTCTTCCTGACCCTCCTCTATAGTTGCCATATGGGCTTAATTTTAAAAGAATCTCTTCCCTGAACTGGCTATCTTCCTGTCTCTTGCTCTTTGTAGGCCCGTGAATTTAGATCTCCCTGAGTATCTTTGTGAAGTCTGTCGAATGACACTGGCTAGCGTGTCCATCGATTTAATCATCAGGACTTCTCTGGAATCCTTGGTGACTTCCTTGGAGACTTTGTCTATTCCTCCGTCAAAGATGGATGGGGAAGACCACGGGCTGTATATAGTGGGGCTGTAAAGTTCTCACCCCAGCTGCAGGAAGCTTGAGGAGGCCTTGACGACGAGAGCTAAGGTCAGTGCTGCTGAGACAGATGTGAGATGATCCGTTAGGGAACTGCTGGTCCTTCTTTGCATAAGTAGGGCCGAGTAAATCATTCTATCATCTTCAGAGGTCAGATCTAAATCTGGTGATAAGTGTCTCATTTATTGTTCTAGATCTATTTAGACCAAAGAACATACGCCTCGCCATGGTTTCTATCTGAACCAATTTCCATCATCAATCTTGTAGTACTTGTTCTTGGCATCGGAGATCAGCTTGTAGTTCTCATCGATGTCTTTGCCTTGAAGAAGGGTCTATATTATCGCGGAGAACTTCTTGGCGTGAAAGTTTGGCAGATGTGGTGTCTGAACCTTCGTGGCTTTGTTGAATGCTGTATCTAGGTTCTGTGGTACCGCCCATAATCGGGTCGATTGGGGTAGTGTTATAGCATCTGCATCGCCTTCTTTCATCAGATATGTCTGCGCTCGAATTGCCACTCTTGGAAGGTGATGAGAGATCTAGATTATTGACCATCCAATATCTTATCTCTGCATCTGAGAAAATAATTCCTCCATCATCTTCCATTCCATCATCATAAATGAGAGGTTGTTGCTCTTCTGATGTAGGACTGTGTGGCTCTATCTCTATATCGTTTGACGCTTGTGGAGATCTAGTTGTAGGCTTATGTGCAGACCTGTGAGGTGATCGACGTGGTGATATATGCGTGGAGATCGGGCGTGGTGATCGGCGAGGCGATCGTCTTGGTGATCTACATCGATAGGTTGATCTTCTTGGCAACCTATGAGGGGACCGTTGGTAGCTTCGCGAAGCTTTTGTGTAGTCCCTCGATGTCCTTTTAGATGATGATGACGATCTGGGTTCAGGTGTCCTTCGCGAACGCCTTCGCGAAGCTTCCTCTGCGTCGGTCCTGGGGAACGGTGATATGACCTTCGAAGGCTTCCGTGAGGTCTGATGATCAGATTCCGTGATCTGAGTATGACGCGAAGAGGGTGATGATCTTTCCCGCCTTCGCCGGGAAGGCTGTACATCTGGGTCCTTCGTGGAGGTGGTCTGTGACTCCTTCTTCGGCGCTGCATCGTCGTGGCTGCTACGCTGACTGGGGTTGCCTCTGGGGTGCTGTCACGTTGGAGCCTTCGCGAAGGCTCGGACCCTGGGATGGCTGCTTCTCCAGTCTGTAGTGGCCTTCCATCATGATCATGATCTGCTTCATTAGATCGCCTGGGATGATCTGCGGCGTAGTAGATGGTGCCCTCTCTGCGCTGATAGCGGTGGGGCCCTCCGCGATCTTGTCTGACATCAGTGTAGAGGCATCAGGCTGCATGGTGATCTCTGCTGAAGTCACTGTCGCTGTCACTGGTCGCTTCTTGTGACGTATGTCGGGTATGATGATTGGTTGATCATCCTAGAGGCCCAATTCTGCTGCTGGAACGATCTCTGCTGAGAAAGTTCTCGACAACTTCGTAGATTTCCCTTTGGAGGATGACGTTGCCCTGGGGGTACGAAGTCTGCGTTGAGAAGACGTTGAGGCCCTCTTGGACTTTATCTGCGATGACGGGATGTCTGGGGAGGCCGGTCGCTTCTTAGAGGTGACGGACTGCATCCCACGTCCCTCTTCCGATGGGGTCTCAAGCAGAACACCAGACAGGAGGGGATCGCTCGACAGCAGCTGACTGGATGGGAAATCCGATGTATCGGGCCATGTCTACACCTAGTTTGCGTGACCTATCTGCAACACGTCTCAAGACGCAAAGATGGTATTTATTAAAAGCAGAATTAGTTAAATTAATGCAGTAACTGCAACGTGAATCAAACGCACAAGGCGTAGTACAACTAGGGCATACTACATGCGGATCCGCAGCGGAAAAACGTAATCTACAAATAGTACAGTTTTTCATCAACGTAATACTAGCTGAACAATCACGAACTCACGTGAATAAACAGTAGAAATACGATTAATTATCACTACAAATTAATGAAGGATACTAGCTATACCTTTATAGTAAACTATAAGAGGTAACTAACTAAGAAAACCAAAGGATATAGTGTGTAAGGAGACACAGGCGCTCTCACATCCTGCTCACTGGGCGAAGAAGGAGAGAGTGAAGCATGAGGCCAGAGGGTGGCGACACCTGTTCCCGCGCTTGCGGCAGGGGAGGCAACTCTTGGGTGAGTACCAATTAGTGATTTTACATTGAAGGGAGCTTCAATTAAGGAGATACAAGTGTTCCACTATGTTCGCAAGAGGAAAGGGGACAAGCAAAAGAGCATGAGTCAGGATAAGGAAAAATATAACTTTGTCAGTTTGTACTAATCAGCAATCCGTCATCATCATGTCATGTCAAAGAAATACCCGTGGAAAGGATTCAAAAAGGTCAAAGATACCAATACTATTATAAATACATACCATCTTCAAATGGGTTAACAACCACTGGTTCAATCTTTGGACTAGCTCTGTTCTGCTGAGATGCAGTGGTCCTTACATCAGTGTCAAGGAGGGCAGTCTGTAACAACACTGTCTTGTTTTCCCCAGGTGCAAGTATGTCTGTAATGCAGACAACAGACATTCTTCTTACATGCTTATAATGCAAATCATAATTGCTTCTGTTTTAAAGCATGAGAAGGAAATATCCTCATCATGATTGCTAATAACCACTGAAATGACTTTTCAAATTATTTTACTTCTAAGACAGTTTAGGTTTTCAGTGAACATACTTATAATAATAATAAACTTGGCAAAATGAGGGAAGGAATCACTGACCCATGTCACAACCTTTGTGATATAAGGTTCATCACACAGGTTATGAGTCACTGATCCAGTAAATATTGAAAAGACCTCAGGAGGTGACGCATCTGACATAATTACCTGTAGAACTTTTGGAAAGAACTGTGTCCAGATCCTTATGCTTGAAATGTTTGAAAGCACAATGTGCCTTGGTACATCCTGAGGGCTGAGACTCCCAGTAGCATGGGATATTGCTTCTGTCAACCTGAAAAAGAACCCACAAACAATATACCATTTTGCCCAATGTACAACCATTGGGCTACAGTAAAGTTTTCATCTAAAACTTTGTCAAACGTCTAACTTCACATCACATGACTTAATACTTAAATCGGTTAGCTCTCCAGTGTCTCTTTCATTCAATTCAATTGGAGTACAGTGCATGCCTAACAGTTAGTAACAGAACAGAACCTGAAAAGTAACCTTTTACTCCCTTCATTCCCTGAATACTTTTATCTGTGCCCCTGACAATTAACCTATTAAGAAGATGAAACAAAAAGAAGACAGATTTAGTCACACCTTGATTTCCATATGTCGGAACTTGCATCCTGGCCGTGTACAGATCCCTGCCTGCCAGTGGGTGCACATAACCTCGCATCCCAAAGCAGCCTCTACATGTCGGAATGGGCAACTAGCTCCCTAAAAACACATCAAAATCATTGCAAACTCAATGTCATCACTTCCCACAGACACTGGGATGGCAAACAAATCACTTCAATTTAGATCTTTAGAAGCTATTGTATGTGATGTCTGTATTCACTGTTCCCACTGATCAAAGGATTTGCTTTCATGGACAATGACATGTGTATTGAATATTCAGTCCTACAGGAGTACATGGGTCAATCCTGATGACATTCAATTACAAATATTATCATATTACCATGATCTCTTTCTTGCAGTATAATGATAATGATAATGGGAAACAAACTATGATCAGCAATAAAAAAGTAACAAGCATGTAAAACACATCATGCTTATTATCACCTTTGTACATGCAGAGTAGTAGTAGAAATAGCAATCATCTCCAGTTTGTGCCATCCTGTCTTTGATCCTGAAGAAATAACCTAATTACATTCTTTTCAAATACTTTTTTCTGAATCCTTTTTTACTTTTTTTTTCAAAATCAAAACCAAACTTTGATCCCTCTCCACTTGATGTTGGCATGCTTCACTGTTAACATGGGGTGATAAGGTTCAGTCTCTGTCCAACCCAGACATCAGATGCACAGATCAGTCAAGCACAAAGCAGTCCAATCAAACATGTCATTTATCTTAGTGGTGGATCAACACAGTAGTAGTCTCAAAGTTGAGAAGGTTAATTCCAAAATTTGGTGCATTCTAATGTGTGGCACAAATCCATATCCATCAAAAATGGAGATGGACAACAATCTGAAAGTAAAAAGAAACAATAATCACACTTAAGCAGTAAACATCTTTGTTAGCAATGACACAATAACCTAGTGATGGTATTACTACGATCACATTGCCAATTTAATAAATCTACTACACCTAATATTACTTGAAAAATGAACCAAATGATATGATACCGTATGTGCAAACCACATATTCATATACTGGTATTGTAATACTGTCCACCTCTTCAAACACTTAACAAAGAATTCAATATTCCACATCTGACTCTGAGCTGTCCAATATCCTTGTGAGCAGAGTTTTTTTTGTCCTTGCTGCCTTACTGCATTCTCACCAACACACAACTTGATATCTCGACAGTAGTGGTGGTCCGATTAATTGAAATAATCGAAGATTGGTCTCAGTGACTAAAAGACCAAGCAATCGAAAATGTTTTCTCATAATCGAACACAAACAATTTTGGAACACTTGTTTGCATTAACATAATAACAATATTTTTTCACGAGGTTGGTTTGTCTGTGTCGTTAAATTTCATAAGCACTACAAGCTCATTCCAAGTCATGATTGAATTTATCTTAAAGATTCCAGGAATTTTATGTTCCTAACATACTACCCATCCTTTAAATATGTGAAATATGAAATGCATTTTATGCAAAAAAACCAAAAACTACATGGATTTTTTTGTTATTTATTTTGTGCATTAACAGAGATAACAGGAACATGTGATAAATGATGCTTACCAATTATTTTCGATGATTGATCGGTTGTAATGCATCAATGATCAATTATGACTATGAGATTTTAACACTACTAGACAGAGGCTGGAAAGGCAGGTCTGAGACTTCTCATGTAAGGAGAAGTACATTAATAATATCTAATTCGTGAACAATGATGAATGCTACTTCTTATCTTGAGCATTTTGCAATGCTTATCACTGTTGGAGGTTTGGTCTGCAGTTTGCAATATTGATAACCAGCAACAGATTATGTTCAGATTAGAATATGCTAAGCAAACACTCTAACATGCAAAGGTATGCATAATCTTGCTCATACTCAAATACATGTACCTGTGCTTCAGAGAAGTGATGTCAGAACAATCACAATTTCAAGATGTAGCATATAGCAGAAAGTGCCCAACAGTCCCCAAGTGAATGCAAGCTGCCATTGCCAAGGCTTTTGAATAAAGAGAATTCAGCTTTGCCGACTCTATTGGCCCATATAGCTGTGTTACCAAATTCTGGAAAACACAGTTTTGTGGGCAAGTAAGGGACTATGAAGAGCAGTTGGATCTCCTTCAACTACTGCATGTTCTGTAGCACATAGGGTAATCATGATAACTCTGCTGGAGACAGGCACGCATACACTCCTTTGTACACAAAGTACACATACAGGTTTTCCCAAGACATGGCCACAGCATCATGATTCAGGCGTATGAAACAATTATGCGCATTAATCTTAACATGTTTAATAATTCATAAACATACTGAAATTAAAATTTCATAGAACTCAAAATTTCCTATAAAAGTATAAAATGGAAATTATAGTTCCTTCTTCTGAGAGATTTTTCTAAAATGAAACTTTTCAAAGAAATAACTCATAATTGGTAAATAATGATCTCATCACCTGATCAGATAATTCTAAGGAAATGCAAACCAATAATTTACAAGCTAGCGAGTGAACATGGATCCTCCATCATTCAACCTCAAGACATTTGGTGCCCGTTCTTTTGCTTCAGTTGCAACCGCACTATGGAACTCACTTCCACTTAAATTACGTACAGCTCCATCCCTTCAAGTGTTCAAGCGTAACCTCAAAACACACCTTTTCAGTCGATACAAACAGTAACTCTCTCCAAGCTCATATTTACTACAATACTGATTCATATGACTTTTTGATGTGTTCGTTTTTAAACATTTGTGCGCGCTTTGAGCATGCCCCTTTGTGGTATGGAGTATTGCGCAATGTAAGTACCCTTATTATTATTATTATTTTTAAGTGAGGTCCCTAAAACTAAGTAGTATTGTGCTATCATGTTGCAAAGGAATTGGCTTGACATCTACCCATAGACTGTCTAACGAAAACTGTGTACCATGTATCATGTACATTATCACTCAGAGCAACCAGATTCTCTGAATGACCAACCTTTATGGGTTGAATTTTTTTCAAGTCCAGAATGAACTCTGAAATGATCCCATACAGCACAATGTTTTAACCTCCTGGAAGATGTAGAAAGGTAGCCCTGAAGTTCTGTTTGACAAAATCACATATAATCATGACAATGATAATAGACACAACACTAAAGGAAATAATTACCAACAGCAAGAACACATGTATGTCCCTGTGTGATGGGAAAGAAAGTAAGGAAGCAAGAACAGATAACTCTGATTTGTACCCAAGGCCAATAGGTGCTACAGGTGTAGAATGAGGTATGTATGAGTATTGTGTTGTATCATGTTGCTCTTGAAGAGAACAAGGGAATTGCAACATGTGCAAAGCACTGTGTCACTGTTAGGATAACAAATTGTTTATTCTTACCTTGAAAACGATATATCCAATCACTGGTCCTTTTCTTACTGCACAACTGCTTTAGAAACTAGGACCATAACCATGATAACATATCCTTGGGGGTCTTGTTTCCAGAAAGGCGTCATGCTTCACATGACGCAGTTGTTGATCATGTTGATGTAACCCTGACCATTTATTTCCCCATACCTAACCAAATACTCCAACAACCCCCTGAAATGATTTATTTCACACAAATCTATACTGGGATGTGTTTTTGAAAATCAAAACCAATAAATTGCATTAATCCGAAAGGATGGTTCAAGTCTTGTGTGAACTGTCACGTCCTCCAAAACTGACAATCTACCCCAAAATTCATAATCATGATAACGGCAGCATATATTTAACATTTTGTTCAATATCTTAACGAATACTTTACTACAATGTATATACTCCCACAGCTTGTTTTATCAAATTCATGTTATAATATCTTGCCTGTTTGAATATTATTCTTTTTCAGGATCAACTAAATATGAAATATTTGAGGAAAAACAAGGAACTGACTAAGTAACATGACCAAAGTGGTATGAGACTGATAAATCACCAGAGCTCTGAACTGAATCTAAGTAAGATCCAAATGTCCTGTTGAGCTGATTATTTTATTGGCATGTGATAGTCTATATTGTCACAAAGGTGACAAGTTTTATTTTTCATATTTTGAGCCTGTGGGTAAAAACATGACAAACTCAACACATAATGTGAACCAGTGTTCCCACAGTTGCTTATCACCTTCACCATCTTCACAGTTGTACCTTGCAGTTTGGACACCATAGGTAATAAAAACACTATTTTGCTGACGGAATATGTAAAAGTGATGTATTGCTGATGATCTTGATCCTTCCATTCATTACTCGTCGCTATATGGCTGAAATAATGCCGATGAAACGATAAATTCTAACTCACTGATACATTATTGCTCAGTTGACAAAGAGCAGTATGTCCATAATCACTTGACACTATTTTGCTAAATATTTGCTGAAGTTTCAACAATACCTCCTTCTTGGTAGATATCAGGCAATATATGTTTACCTAAATGCCATATCTCTCTTCCCGAATTAATTTGCTTACCAAGTTCCGACAAAAAAATGTGCGTTATCCCCTTATCCTCATCCAGTGACGTTTTTGGTTAGTATTCTACACTGTATACTCCTTTTTAAATATCCACGACGGATATAATTATTCGATAAAACGTAACGCCTAACACTCGTTCAACACACTTACGTAGTTATGACAATATCTGAAATTGCTACATACAGTGACAGACATGTATTTATAAATAAATGAACACTTGTAAACCCTTGTTTACCTCTCCTGTAAATGGCGTCGAATATAATGACGTCATTTCTTTACGGAGTAAATACATAAAAACATACTTGATAAAGGAGTGTCACAAAATGAGAATATACTAGCGTATTCCTCATTATAGGATTATTGTTTATTCTCTGGTACATGAAGCATTTTACATTTTATAAAATATTTTGATTCCGCACCGAATAAAGGTGAAGGTCACTAATGGAAGTAAACACATGGTGAACGAACTGTTGTGTGTAGACAGCTGAAGCTGTGACTCCTTTTTCATTTGGCAAATTGTTGTATCTTGCTCACAGCTGACATTTAAATTCAAATATGGACAAGGCGCAATCAAAGTCTCACGGTCATTTCCCAAAGGGGAAGGCGAAGATGCATACTCACAGTTCCAAAAAGAGGATAAATCCAAAGAAACAATTCAAAGGAAGTAAACAAGAAGGTGCGAACGCAAAATTGATGGTTAGCATGTTGGTAAGAGTTCCTCCCGTTCCCCCATCCCAAATGATATTTATGAATATACTAAAATTATTAAAAACAATTAACACAACAATTACTAGAGAGCTCACAAAATGACTAAAAGTCCAAACTTTAAGTTAGGGTTAAGTCTAAGTTTAGAGTTAAGTTTAGAGTTAGGTTTATTGTTGGGGGGATGGAAGGAACTCTGTCCCCCCTTTCAAACCAAACACTCCAATATCATGTATATTTCAATCATTATGGTTAGATACCCCATTCCAGGAAAACAACCCTTCCTGACAAAATATAAAATTTCAAGCGTATCATGTACGCACATAAATACCTTTGTAGTCTAACATATATAAATGAAAAAGTCAGTATTTCGAAGACTTTTTACGTGATTAATAGAAGAAAATCACCGCGTTAAAAGACTTTTAGTGAAGAAAGATGAATCAATCTGAACGATCAAATAATTCTTGGATTTACTAAATGAGAAGGGGCGGTGGGATAGCCTGGTGGTTAAACCGTTCGCTCGTCCTGCCGAAGACCCGGGTTCGATTCCCAACATGGGTACAATGTGTGAAGCCCATTTCTGGTGTCCCCCCACCGTGATATTGCTGGAATATTGCTAAAAGAGGCATAAAACTTAACTCACTCACTCACTCACTCATTTCATAGCCATTTTACTTTTTTCCCCTGGCTGTTAAGCTGTGTTTATTTTTCTACAGTATTTCAAGTGGTATCTGGTAAGAAATAATAATCGATAATTCTTGCAAACAGTTTAAGTGTCTTTTTCAGTACTTTGTGAGACCTCCTTGCCCTGCAATACACGACCGAATGTGCCTATGTACACCACCGATCAAAGTTTGCTGGAAATCGTGTGACAGAGTATCCCAATACTCCTTTCTTCATATCCTCAATATTTCTAGTCTTTTTTTGTTTATTGTGTCCTTCATGCGTCACTCAACGTGATGATATCCCACCACACATGTGAAATTTCAGGCCATGTTTTGGGCGTTGGTAGATAGGTTTCACGGTGTTTTTTGTCCAAATTTTCACACAGTGCAGAAAAAGCCAGACAAAACTTTCATCAGAAAAGAAAACATTTTCCCAATCTTGATTTTCATGAGCCCTACGTCAGTTTAAATGTCTTTCTTTTTGTGCACCTTTCATCAATGGTGAGGGAATTCTGCGCTTTTTGCACCCAGTTAAGTCTTTGTAATTCTTGACTAAGGGTTATATTCTAAACGCTTTTTGATTTTCCACTACTCACAATCTGACCAAGTCGCTGGTGATCCGTAGTACAGAACTTCCTTGGCCTCACTGACCCTGTCTTGTGCTAAGTCCCAATTCCTGACTGAATAGTCTTCAAATTTCTGTATACTGTAGACAGAGGAATGTCATGTCTACCAGCTAACTCTTTTGCATTAGTCACACCTTTCAAAATCATCAGTTTTCCAGGGGAGATAACTCTTGATGTAGTAATGTTATTCTTAAAGATCACATATACTCTAGGGGGGTACAAATACATAAATCACTAACTGGCATCGCTATAAATGAAACCCCGTCATTAAAACTACTCACTTCGATCTTCAATCAACTTAAATCAACCTTTTTGACAACAGTGCACAATTCTCACCCGCGAACGAAATTTCAACCAATCAGAGCGGGGCGTCTCTGTGTCGTCATATGAGGAATAGATATGAGGGCCGATGAAGAATTCATCTACATTTCAGGGGGTAAATTATCTTGTCATCATTCACTTGATGCTCAGTTAATAAATTATATCAGGTATAATTAGTGGTAACACCACTTAGATTACCCGACAAAAGTTCCCATTTGGCATTTCTTGTGTCTGGAGTAAATATTCAACATTATAAACATCGATCAAAGGATTAAACGATAACACGCTGATTGATTAATTACTTTTATCTTACACAGTGGATTTGTCAAAAGGAAGTGTTGATGTGTGTAGATTTACTAATCTATCGTGTCGGTGTCTGCGTAAATACAACGTCCTTCCTTCAAAGGATTAACCGCCAATACAGTGATTGATTGCTCATTATTGGCTAACTAAATTACCATTTTTAAAGAATGGCGGAAATTATGCAGTCAGTTGCCAGGTGTGCTATCTTGGGTGACCAATGAGACTATACACCAATGTGAAATACCTGGAACGATATATCACTTTTTCGTATACTAGACTGTTAAAAGACACATTACTTGGAACAGCTGTAGATGAATGGCATATCACTCGTTTTTGTGGATATTGATGTATATATTCCTCGAACAAGATAATACCCTGACATTGTTCCTATAGATTTAATCTGTTTTAATTTTAATATTTGCATTTTGTTTTTATTCATTTGTCGTAGCATTCAACAGAATCGTTGTTTTCGCCGTGAAGTGTAATGAGACATACACTAGGGCGTGTGTGCGAATTATGATTCACATTGGCAAACTATAAAATGTCTAAATGTTAAAGGGAAATTATTCAGATTATTGAAAAACATGTACAAATCTGTAAGATCATGTGTCTCTATAAATGAAGGATATACAGCATTTTTTGAGTGCCAAAATGGCGTCCGCCAGGGTTGCCAACTATCCCCTTTCTTGTTCTCATTTTTTGTAAATGATATTGTAGAGAGCCTAGCATTAGATAACCAGAGGGGTGTGAATCTGGAACTAATTGAATTGTTTATATTACTATTTGCTGACGACATTGTAATCTTTGACTTTTCTGTTGGTGGTCTCCAAAAGAGATTAGACAAATTAGTTGGTTATTGTGACCGTTGGAAACTAAAAATCAATGTAGCAAAGAGTAAAATTATTGTGTTTAGAAAGGGTGGCAGACTTAAGAAATGCGAACGATTTTATCTAAAAAATAATGTTATTGATACTGTCTCATCCTATAAGTACTTAGGGGTTCATTTATCCAGCTCAGGCTCGTGGTATATAACTCAAAAAACCCTCGCAGAACAAGCATGGAAAGTTCTTGGTATACTCAGATCATCAATACCTAATTTCTCAAATCTCCCCATTCATGTTTTGTTCAAAATATTTGATGTTAAAATTCTCCCAATCTTACTGTATGGCAGCGAAGTATGGGGATTTCACACAGCACCTAATGTTATTAATATCCATGACAAATTTTGCAAACAAGTTCTCAATCTTCCAAGAAGCACCCGAATATATTCGCTCATGCCGAGCTTGGTAGACACTCCCTTAAAGTTAATATTTACTGTAAAATTATTAAATATTGGATAAGACTGGTATCTCAAGCTGATAATGTTATTTTAAAGAAAGTGTATGAATATCAATATCGAACTGCAGAGAAAGGACGCCCATGTTGGGCACTAAGTGTAAAAAGACTTCTAAATCAATATGGTTTTGGATATGCCTGGTTTTACCAGAATGTTGGGAATGTCACTACTTTCATATCTCTGTTCAAACAAAGATGTATTGACGTTCATAACCAATCATGGAAAGGTGATATGCTGTGTTTTTCTAAACTTGATTTTCTGAGTAATATCAAAACAAAGTTTGCTTAGAGTTCTACATTAATCACGTTCAATGCAAAGTATTTCGTATTGCCTTAAGTAGAATTAGAAGCTCCAGTCATATGTTAATGATTGAATATGGTAGACGCCTTGGTCTAAAGCTTAAAATGAACGCTTGTGTCCATTGTGTATTATTCCTACTGTAGAAAGTTTAATTTCATTTTTGCCTAGAATGTCCATTTTATAATAATCTTAGAGAAATGACAATTCCAAATTATTATTACAATTTCCCGTCACAACAGAAACTGTCTCAGTTGTTCATGACGAAGAATATACTTCTTATTAATAATCTTGGAAAATTTGTGTATCTAGCTTTAAAGAAGCGTAATGCATTCTTGAGTGTATAGTACCCCTACAGCCTCTTGTATCTGCTGATTAGCACTTGTGCTAATATTGAATATTTTATGGCGCTTGTTAGACCTTGCACTTTGTACATTTGTATAATGGGCCTGTGGCCCCTTTACTTGAATAAACCTCTCTCTCTCTCTCTCTCTCTCTTAAATACAGTGATTGATTGCTCATTATTGGCTAACTAAATTACCATTTTTAAAGAATGGCGGAAATTATGCAGTCAGTTGCCAGGTGTGCTATCTTGGGTGACCAATGAGACTATACACCAATGTGAAATACCTGGAACGATATATCACTTTTTCGTATACTAGACTGTTAAAAGACACATTACTTGGAACAGCTGTAGATGAATGGCATATCACTCGTTTTTGTGGATATTGATGTATATATTCCTCGAACAAGATAATACCCTGACATTGTTCCTATAGATTTAATCTGTTTTAATTTTAATATTTGCATTTTGTTTTTATTCATTTGTCGTAGCATTCAACAGAATCGTTGTTTTCGCCGTGAAGTGTAATGAGACATACACTAGGGCGTGTGTGCGAATTATGATTCACATTGGCAAACTATAAAATGTCTAGATATTACAGTCCTGTTATAAATGCACCACAAGTATCAGCAGTCTGCTTTTTATTTAGTTTCAAAATGCATACAAGTATGATAATAAACTAATTAGGATTATAAGACCAAATATAAAGACATACATTGACTAGTATCTACATACTGGTGAGTGCACGTTAACCACGTGAATGTAGCCAGAAATTTATCGAGCAGTATTGTCACTTCGACCCCCCACCTCGCTTCCGTGGAAGAAATCGTTATGTTATAAGTTGTGTCATGCAAAATGCTTTTGGTTATGATTCAAATACATATTTAACTACGAGTAGAAAGTAGTTTTGATTTTCTAACTTGATGAACACAAACCATATTCTCATTAATTCTAACAGACTTTAGCCCGTGACTTCAACGATTTTCAAAACTGGCGGTGCCCTATCGCGTACATCCGCCAGTCTGAGTATAAATGCTATTTAGGTTTGTTTTCACCGAGTTACAAAATCAAAACTACCGGGTACTTTCTACTGATAGTAAAATATGTATTTGATTGGTGGCCAATAGGATTTTGCATGACATAGCGTATAACATAACAATTTATCTCGTGGAAGCGTGGTGAGTGTCAATATAATACTACATGTACTTACAGTATTATTGTTACTTCGACAGCAACCTCTCTTCTAAGGCAGAAATCGTTACGTTACAAGTTGTGTCATGGAAAATCTTTATGGTCATCAATCATATACATATTTTACTATGACTAGTAAGTAGTTTTGATTCTTTAACTTCCGTGACGCTATCTGAACACAAGTAAGATATCGTTTCAGGCTTCCACAGCGCTCGTTTTGCACACACAAACATAACCCATTTTGCACGAACTGCGGGGTCCTGTGGAAATCTGTGCATGGCGACACCATCGCCCGACCTCTAGGAGCAATTGACGACAACGCAACGATTTGGCATGTCTTCGTTGATGTCTAGAAATCATCAAAATGACGAGCTTGCTACACACTTTCTATACAACTAACTGAAAATCCTTCCTCATATGACGTCACTGCAGTGCTCTGGCGACAGAGTTACGTAACCTGTCTGTGGTTTCGTTGGCGGGCGAGAGTGAAGCAGGCGACTTTTTGGCAACTTTTAATCGCTCGGTACTAATTAACCACAAGTTTTTAAAGAATGAATTTGGTGTTCCGCATAAGACTGACCACAAATCTTTCATTTGTAATAGTTAAAAGAGTTAAAAAAACAAAGTTTATTTGTTCTTTAAGCCTACAAGAGGTGTCTCCCATTGAGTACCTTACTACATAATGTAACACCTATTTTAAAATTCTATCTGTATGATCTGACACAAGGCATCATGACACGCACTTGTAGTGATGTGGTGTCCAAGTCAATTCACAAATTCAGTATTGTGTGTGTCCACCATTGGTGTTGATGCAGGCTTGACAAGGACAGTGCATAGACGATTGAAGAAAGCCTGGGGAATGTTGTTCCATGTCTGAACCAATGCTTGTCCCAATTCAGCTAACGTCAATGGCTGATTCTGGGCTTGGCGTAAACATCGCTCCATTTCATCCTAAGAGTGCTCGATAGGGAACACGTCTAGAGAAATAAACAGCTGGCCAGGGGCGTACCAGAATGTTCTGCAGGAAATCTGTCACAACGTGAGCGACATGTCAACAGTCATTATCTTGCTGAAGCATAAAGTTATGTCCCTGTCCTTCAATGAATGGCTGCAAATGAGGTCCAATGATCTCATCCCTGTATCGGAGACCTGTCAGATGGCCATTGACAATAATGATTCCACGAAATTGTCAAAGTTGAATAACGCATGCATCAGCAAGCTGTTCACCTCTGTAGACCCTTGCCCTACCATCTGAGCTGTCCAGATGTCAAACTGGCTGTCTGGAATTGATTCCTTAGATGGGTCAGCCAAATATGGTTGTCTTGGTGATGTGACGTGACTCATGTTCAAGGAAACTCTGTCCTGTTCCCATTATGTCCAAAATGTCTCCATAGAGATGAGATTGTGGTTGGATGGACACTAAAATGTCTGGCTACTTCATTTTGGTCCATTCCAGTCTCCAGCATACCCACGGTAGAGAGACACTGATGTTCTGTAAGCCGTGGCATGATGTACACACAGTTTAGGTTGAAATAAAAGTGTTTTCCACTAAATTCAGAGGCTAGAGAATAATCAACCGTTCTTTAATTTTCAATATCAGGTGTGTGAACAGCATGCAAAAAGTGAGTAAGTTCATTGTGCACAAAGTTCATGTGCCACATGCAATACGTGATATCAGATTTCCTGGAAAGTGCTTTGCTACACGTTTATACAGTTGTTTTTAGGTTTGGGTCCTTTTCAAATACATGTAACTTTTATTTTATGCAATTTTATATTATGCAGTTACTTTTATCCATTAGTATACCTTGTCAAAAGTACCTTCTGCCAGTCTACCATTACATGAGATCTCAAAGCATTTCATATAGCCATCCACTCATTGACAGGGTATTATGTGAAAACATCATGATACAAACTTAACAAATACTTAAGACAAATGTATATTGGCACAAAACATATACCCAAAGGCTTGTTAAAAAGGTGTATAGCAGTATTAGTATTACTCTGAAACAATTAGCACACAGGATGATTTTGGGTCCCAAAAGAATCAGAATTTAAGGCACCAGGGTGAGCTGTGCCTTTCTCATGCCAGCATCTGCTGTTACAGAGTTTGAATTCTAGATAAGCTCAGATTTTTATATGCTGCATACCAAGGTTAAAGGTATCAAATAAGTGTCATATAGATTTATGAAATCTTAAGACAATATGTAATGTTTCAGGTGAGGGGTTTGCAGAGAAACGGAAAAAGAAGATGCATTATGAGTACATGAAGCTTTTGAAGAAAGAAATGAGGGGACAAAATGTGGAATCACAAAGAAGTAAGGTGAACACAAGTGGTGCTGATGAGATGGTGGGGAATGCAGCTAACAAGACTAAACCAAGGTTTGTTGATCCACCAGTTGTCTGTCTTCATCACCTTCATGTGTTGATAGCGAGTTACCTCTGAAATGTATCCATTAATTTGGTTCAGATTTGGTCGTAAGGTGCATTAGGCATATTTGTAGACCCCATATGGTAAAAGTGACCTTGACCCTAATTTAGTCATTGTTGGTATCACTTGACCCATTGGGTGATTCTTTGCAGGATGCTTGTTGAACCTGTACATTGATTTTGGTTACAATTTGAAGTGTCTCGGGTATTTAATGTTACCTTGACCTCATTTACTAGGTCATGGAAAGCCTAGGACCATGGTACTGTTTAGTTGACCCGTGAAGATCCGGGTTGGTAATGGTCCTCAGGAAGCCATGCTTATAGTAAGAGGCAACAAACAGAATCAGGTGGTCAGGCTGGTTGACATGTCATTGTATCCCAAATGTTTAGATCGATGCTCATGCTGTTGATCACTGGGTTGTCTGGTCCAGACTGGATTATTTACATACTTCTGTCATGTAGCTAAGATACCCCCAGAACCGCTGCATGGCATTGATTAAGTTTTGGTGCAAAGTGTGTTTGGGTGTTTGCGGAACCTAGAGATTAATTTTGTCTTTGATCTTCAAGGTTTGCTCATACATTTTATTCATCAGGTCATTTTGGAGAGCCACTTGATTTTAAGGGCACAGTTATTCTCTAGCATCTTTTATCTTGAATGATTTGGATTTGTTACACTTTTGATTTTCTAATTATCAGGAATAGAACCAAACAATCCAGGTTCATTTTATGTGTTCAGTTGTTCCATAAATGTCTGTCAGGTTGACATGGTTCAGGTAAGATATCCTATGATACAAATATCTCTTTTAGTAGTTCAGATGAAATATTATTGTGTGGGTACTTGCAGGAACTTCAAAGTACAAGACAGGCATCAAGGTAAACAGCATATGTTTTCTGAGGCTCAGAAGAGATTTCAGGTGAAGAAAGAAAGTCAGGAAAAACAAAAAGAGGTAAGGAAATTCTTTTTTTTTCACAGTGTGCTGGCTAAAATGTTTTCTTATTAAAATTCACCCCTTGTTTCACTGGCATAAACAAACTCAAATTGGCAAAATCTGCCCCACTCTTCCTTGAGGACAGCAAGATTGCAGACAATATGCACAGCTTTTTCACTGTCATTGTCTTTTGTTTAACAGATCCTCAGATTCTTGAAAACAAATCTTTAAAATCATGTTGCAAAACACTATATGCATAGCTGAGGTGTTTATAGTTCCATTTTTGAAAAGGTACATTTTGTACAAACATTAGATTACAAGTCCAGCATATGCAATCACAGTGCCATAGATCCTGTGTAAACGGATAAATTCATTAAATATTTGGTGTCTTTGACAGATGCTGGAGAATTGCATATACGTTTCTCGTTAATGTTGTTAAAGGCATGTTGTTTTATGTCTTGATGACAAAGTACAGGTAGTTCCCTGCCAGAAATAATTTCATTTGGGTTTAACTTTCTGTTTCCCATACTTCTCATAGAAGAGACAGTCTCCTGTTTGAAGGTTTTTATGTGTTTACTGTTCATTCACCTTACAGGAGAACCTCTTGAGGCTGGAAGAACAGAAGAAAGCTATTAATCAGTATAGAAGCAAGAGGAAGAAGAAGCACCTGATGTTGTGCAAGAAAACACATAAGGGCCAGCCAATTATGAAACACCAAATAAACTATCTGCTGGAGAAAATTCAAGCAGACATTGTTCGTTCATGACAAATCCTTCATGACAAATGATGGATCTATAACATATTTAGTTAAAAATATGAAGATACCATGTACATAGTTGAATTCTGTAAATAAAATGTTTATTGTCATGAAGTACAGTTTTGTAACCCATTGTACAGATAAAGTAGTGAGTTCTGCAGTGTCCATCATCAGTCTGTCATAAAACTTATAATGTCGCTGTTGACACCGGTAGGCTACGTCCAGGATTCCTCAAGCCAATGGTGTCAAGTCTCAGTTGACACTGGTAGGCTACGTGCAGGATTCCTCAAGCCAATGGTGTCAAGTCTCAGTTGACACTGGTAGGCTACGTGCAGGATTCCTGAAGCCAATGGTGTCAAGTCTCAGTTGACACTGGTAGGCTACATGCAGTACTCCTCAAGCCAATGGTGTCAAGTCTCAGTTGACACTGGTAGGCTACGTGCAGGATTCCTCAAGCCAATGGTGTAAAGTCTCAGTTGACACTGGTAGGCTACGTGCAGGATTCCTGAAGCCAATGGTGTCAAGTCTCAGTTGACACTGGTAGGCTACGTGCAGGATTCCTGAAGCCAATGGTGTCAAGTCTCAGTTGACACTGGTAGGCTAAGTGCAGGATTCCTCAAGCCAATGGTGTCAAGTCTCAGATTCCTGACAGTCTCAGTTGACACTGGTAGGCTACGTGCAGGATTCCTCAAGCCAATGGTGTCAAGTCTCAGTTAACACTGGTAGGCTATGTGCAGGATTCCTCAAGCCAATGGTGTAAAGTCTCAGTTGACACTGGTAGGCTACACGCAGGATTCCTCAAGCCAATGGTAAAGTCACCGTTGACACTGGAAGGCTACATGCAGGATTCATCACACCAATGGGGTAAAGTCTTAGTTGACACTGGAAGGGTACATGCAGGATTCCTCAAGCCAATGGTAAAGTCACAGTTGACACTGGTAGGCTACATGCAGGATACGTCACACCACTGGTAAAGTCACAGTTGACACTGGTAGGCAAAGTGCAGGATTCCTCATGCCAATGGTGTAAAGTCTTAGTTGACACTGGTAGGCTACATTGCAGGATACGTCACGCCAATGGTAAAGTCACTGTTGACACTCGTAGGCAAAGTGCAGGATTTGTCATGCCAATGGTGTAAAGTCTCAGTTGACACTCGTAGGCTATGTGCAGGATTCGTCACGCCAATGGTAAAGTCTCAGTTGACACTCGTAGGCTACGTGAAGGATACGTCACGCCAATGGTAAAGTCTTAGTTGACACTGGTAGGCTACGTGAAGGATTTGTCACGCCAATGGTGTAAAGTCTCAGTTGACACTCGTAGGCTATGTGCAGGATTCGTCACGCCAATGGTATAGTCTCAGTTGACACTCGTAGGCAAAGTGCAGGATTTGTCATGCCAATGGTAAAGTCTCAGTTGACACTCGTAGGCTACGTGCAGGATACGTCACGCCAATGGTAAAGTCTTAGTTGACACTGGTAGGCTACATGCAGGATTCGTCACGCCAATGGTAAAGTCTCAGTTGACACTCGTAGGCTACGTGCAGGATACGTCACGCCAATAGTGTAAAGTCTTAGTTGACACTGGTAGGCTACGTGCAGGATACGTCACGCCAATAGTAAAGTCTCAGTTGACACTAGTAAGCTATGTGCAGGATTTGTCACGCCAATGGTGTAAAGTCTTATCATGACACCTCCACAAACCTGACAACTAGGACCCAACTGCCCGGACTGATGCTCTATTACGGGTTTATTCATTTGTCAGTGTAACATAAACATGATATAAATGGACAGGTGTGCTGTTTGGGTCCTTGTTGTCAGGTTTGTGAAGGTGTCATACTCGGACTGAAGCAAGTTTTTCGGTTGATGATGGTGGTATTTCTGCAGTGAAAAGCATACAAGTAGTACCTACACAGTAACATCTGAGCGAAAAGCTATTCATGGTAGTTAGGATGGGGATACTGATACAAGATGGAACATATGTGTGTAAAAATACCAACGTATTTTGTCATTCCAGTTTTTGATCAACCACAGATGTAAAGGCAAGACTTTTATGAATGTCAACTTCTTTATTGTGAAGGGTCACGACGTATTGAAGTATATTCTTAAACGTCGTGACCCTTCACAATATAGAAGTTGACATCCATAAAACTCTTGCCTTTATGTGTATCACTTCTAAACGCCCCTCAAAGACACAGATGTAAAATATGCCACAGGACCCAGAAACTGCAATGACACTAAATCGTTGATCCAATTATCACAGAAACCATGGTCCACATAGGGGGTTGGTTAGTGCCCATACTCTCAACACTGCTGGGTACAAAACAGTATCTACACAAATCTACACAAGAAACCGTTCAGTGTGACCGGATGAGTTTGCATAATTCAGCTACTAGTATATCATAATGGCGGCTAATGTAAATAACCCACCCACAAAAACTGACCAAACCGTTGTCGCCCCTTACTTGATCACATCAAATTTACAACGAGGAGCACGTTTAATGACAAATCTAGGAACACATGATGAAAAGAAGAGAAAAACATCTAGTCAAAAATAAGAACACTTCTGATAAATCTGGCGAAGTTTTTAGTCAAATTGGAAGGATCTCATCTAATCAAATAATTGTAACGAGAAGGAACATATCTAGAGAAAGTATGACAGTATTTCCGTCAAATGCGGGGAAACGCAGCCCGTATTTATGTGTACAGGTTATATGCAAGTGTTAGTGAGTGAGTGAGTGAGAGAGTTTAGTTTTACGCTGCACTCAGCAGTATTCCAGCTTTATACCGGCGATCTGTAAATATATTCGAGTCTGGACCAAACAATCCAGTGATCAACAACATGAGCATGGATCTACGCAATTGGGATTCGATGACATGTGTTAACCAAGTCAGCAAGTCTGACCACCTGATCCCGTTAGTCTTACAACAGGCATGGGTTGCTGAAGATCAATTCTAACCCTTGAGATATTGATGAGAGATTTGTTTTTTACGAATGAGCCATGGGCTTACCGCCATTAATCACAAACTACACAAGCCATTGACATCAAAAAGTATCTTTCTCCGATTACGGTAGCTGAGAATCCTACTACTGGTGTATACCATCCAGAAAGGTGGCGCCGAAAGTGGCCAATATTATGCTGATCTGCACAGCTATCAAAGCGAAACTCAAAAAGTCATATGTGTTGTTCAACCTGGACAAAGCTCCTTTGCACAAGGCTGTTGTCGCCATGTGAGCACCAGCTGCAGGACTTGTGCTATTTGAACATCCTCCGTCTTCATAATATTGGCCACCGTCATACGTCCGGGTCTTGCCAAAGTTGGAGAAAATGTTGTCGGGAATTCATTGTGTAAAAATGGTGATGTTGTCATTTCTGCTGCAGGAGGACGTGTTACACCAGCACCAGGAGTAAACCGTCTATACCTGTGGGATCCATGCAATTGAATCATTTTTGCTAGGAGTGCGTGAACCTCGGAGAGGTTTATGTTGAAATATGATTAGCAACCATCCCATCAGAGCCCATCATACATGACAGTATAAGTCTGTTTTTACAGAGCGTAAAGCTGGTGTGTTATTTTATAAAGCAACGTATGTAGATGGGATGTTTAATGTTGTTGTCGGAGGAAGGTCATAGTCAAGTATGAAGATGTTTCAGGATTGAAGTGTATTATTTGAATGTATCACTGTATGACAAGCTAAGAGAACCTTCTGGCAACAGCTGTAATTCATGTTGGCCTACTTTATCGAAGTAGCATATGGTATATTTCCGTTGTTTCATTGCATTCAACACAGGGACATAAACATTGTTTATGTATGGTTATGATAATTAAATTAAATATTATTAAACTTTAAAATACAATTGTGCAGGATTCAATCCAGCGTGACATCCATCGGTCTTAGGCTGTCTCACAGTCAGTGAACCGCATAATTTCCCCTTCTGCCTAGCCCTTCCTGTAATGCTAAACCCCTAAATAAGCAAGTCCAGATTTATTCAGGACCCCCTTCTGCCTAGCCCTTCCTGCAATGATAAAGCCCCAAATAAGCACGTCTATATGTATTCAGAGACTAAGCGTTAGTCTACCACCGGCCTGAATCGCGCTTTGACAATGCCGTGGGAGGATAAGTTCCAAACTCGGCTTGAATGAAAAAAGCCTGAGGCGGTCACATGCATAGTCGGCCTCCTTGTCGGCGGCGGTCTGTAAATAATCGAATCTGGAACAGACAATCCAGTGATCAACAGCATGAGCATCGATCTGCTCAATGTGGAAACCGATGACATGGGTCAACAAAGTCAGCGAGCCTGACCACCCGATCCCGTTAGTCGCCTCCTACAAGCATGGGTTACTGAAGGTTCATTCTAACCCGGACCTTTATCTGTTCCTTGTCTTAGAATCTGATTTGAAGTGATCATATCAATTTTGTTTGTCGGAGATGGGTCAACCTACAATGCTTATTCGACCTGAAGCATACATGTCGTACTGTGTGGTACCTAGCCAATGGTTTAAACGTTATGTTGTTATGCTACACCAATATATATATATATATAGGTGCAATTTGTGGGGCTCATTTCTAGTGCCGGGATACTGCTGCAAAGCATATCGTTAAAGTCGGCGCAAAACTCCAACTAACCCACACTCTGAATATTTAATGTCGGTTTACCGTGGTAGATGCATGCATGGGTTTTCACCTAAAGATACTCCGCTACGACTCAGCGTCGATGTCATCGACCATTATCCTCTAATGGTCACCCAAGGCGTTCCAGCTAAGTCATGAAGGATTTCATCTGACCTCATGATACCAGGCTCCCATTACCTTCATCTCCGTGGTTCCGTTCGCCTGTTCCCTTTTAAAACCAACCAGACGCTATATAGGTTATTCTGTCATCCTCTACAATCCGTTTTAGAATGGATCTTCAGTAACCCATGCTTGTCGTAATAGGCGACTAACGGGATCGGGTTGTCAGGCTCGCTGACTCGGTTGATACGTGTTGCGTAGATCAAGGTTCATGCTGTTGATCACTGAATTGTCTGGTACAAACTCGATTACTTATAGACCGCAGCCATATAGCGAGAACATTAATTGCTGAGTGTGGCGTTAAACAACCAACCAACCAATCA